TAACATTTATATGATGAAAACTGTTTATGTAAAATCAACATTTTGTCAAGTAATTGAAGTGTGGTAATGGTAATGGCCAGTTTTTCAAAGTGTATTGTTCGATACTGAAATCGACACTCAACTTTTCCATGTATGGACAAGCATAACCGGCTACATTAGTTAAAAGGAGACTCTTTATTAGTTGACCGAATCGGTATATATATATATATATATATATATATATATATATATATATCCCTTGGAAAATTAGGCCACTGATGGTAGTTTTTATTCCTTAAAAATTAAAGTCATATTTAGGTTAATCACGTGCATTAATTACTTGACATATCATTGATTGACTTAATGTACCAAGCAATTGTCATAACATTGAATTGTGATTTCGTTGTACCTACTTCATCTTGGTGTCTGTTTATTAGCATCGCTAACCTAAATATACACAAAAAAGGGTGGCTCAGAGAGCATCTGTACTTGCTAAATAAATTTACTGACAATTTAAGAGAGATTTGCAAAATTACCTCCGGTTATTCGCTAGGAATATTTATTTTTGATCACTAAAAGGCAGAAGAATATAACATTGATATAATTCATTTTGATATAGAATCATCAAATTTTAAATAAAAAGAAAATACAATCCAGAATATTCAGTATCGAACTGTAAAGTTATCTCATCTCTTCACAGTTTTCAGTCGATTTTCTTGAATAAGTTATCTAATGAAATTTTAGCATTAAAGATTACAATAAAGGATTGTTCGCACTACATATTGTATAATCATGCCATTGAATTAGCTAATTTGTTAGTTAATGCCTCAAGCAAAATAATCACTTATTAGCAATGAAAATATTCTTATTTTCCTTTGTAAATTATACATATATATTTGGAAAATTTTTGAGGAGATTATACTACTGAATGTAACAAGTAGTTATGTGTTGTCAAGTGGTTGAAATGTGTGAAAAAGATTATGGCACTTCCGAAATTACTCAATTTATTAACAACTGCGGATTGATACATATATAATCCCCAATTCGATTACAAGCACACTACGTTTTGCCATCACGTAACATTTTACGCATAAATTACTAAACATGACTGACAATGAATTGCTACATTTCATGTTGATGCTAATTTCCAGTAAAATAATATATATAGACTATGAATCAAATTAATGTATATAACATAAGAATCTTAATACGAGTTAGAGAAAGAAATTCAATCGATCGACTAAATCATCTGTCTGGAAATATCTGAAGCAGGGTTTTGTGACTACTCATTTACTGATTTCTAAAATCAAACATTAATCAGATAAGATATGGTCAAGTTAAATATCATAGTCAACTTTATGGTAGGAGCATTTAATAATCAGTGAGCCTGGTTTTTTCATGATCAGGACGTTAAATAATCAGTCTGCGTTAATGTACGATAATAAATAGATAAAATAATGAGATTATTGATGACCAATTGTTCGCGTGGTTGAAGTGAAATAAACCACGTTGGTACTCAGAACGCCAAATGAACAATCATACAATATCATTAAAAACCGGATATATATATATATATATATATATATATATATATATATATATATATATATATATATATATATATATATATATATATGGCAATTACAGACTTCACCTATCGTCAAAATATTTATCTGGGAATATACTTTTTATACATCCTGCAAAATTAAGAAGGGCTTACATGGAGAAAATTAAAAAAGGTGAACATTCTTGAAAATCACTGTATTTCTGCGCTTTCCTATATATTCTTATTCTCTTTTCGTCAAAACTCAGACGAATAACATGGAAGGCGTAAAATTTTGATGATCTTCAAGAAAAATAACAATATAAGCGGAACTTTCTTCCTACATAATTCATTCCAACAAAGTTGGAAAAATTGTTCAAGATAGGGTCAATTTGTTCCTGATGAAAGAAACTGGCAGTTAATTTGGTCTTGATTAAAAAATTTCTTGATGTATAACAGCAGGTTCTATTTCATCAGAGTAATCCTGAGGAAATGTAATAAAACTTCCCAAATCCAGACGATCCTACTCTAAGTCAAGATTAATATGTATGGATTTAGAATTATAAACGGCAAAATTATTTATAAGATCATTGATCGAACGTACCCTACCTAGTTTCATTCACAAAAATTTTAATAGATTTCAGACCAATATGTAAAATACAGTCATATCGGCATAATACTTTATCATATATGAACCTAAAACTGTACTTGCTTATATCACAAAAGCTCATAATATTGAAAGCAAACTTTTAAGTTCATTTCCAACCTTGAATAAATGTGAGCTCGTCATAGTCTAACATGTTTCATAAGTTTAGTGCGAATATCTTTATAACCAACGTATGTGTATATAAAAATTCCGATTTTTTTGGGTAAAATATAATTCATATACGATAAATAAACAACTGCCTAGTTCCCGACTAACGCAACTAAACACAAGAAAAATAACTAAAACATGGAGTTTTAGTACCAAATAACTCATGCGGATTAATAAGCAGAAGGAATAACCTAGGCAGTGATTATTTGGACAACAACTTAGTTGATTAATTCAACTAACCATTAAAGTGTGCATCTGACAAACCTTGGTCTATCATGTGACTTTATTAACTCCACTTGTTTGTATGGAGTTTAGTTTATCATAAACGTGAATTCTACTGAGCTAGATAACAGAAAGATGATTAATTTTTACTGACTTCATTGGCGTTATATTTGACTAATGCAGTTCTTACTGCTGAGACAATTTAGTAAAATGTGTTTCATTTTGTGTTTTGTACCAACCACTAAATGAATTGAACCAAAGACGCATGGGTAATCAGCTTATAATTCTTGAAGTTTCGTCAGTAAATTAGTTTTATTTGGTATTCACTAACCATAGTTTGACAGTTATCTTACCATAATACAAAACTGATTTATGCTAATTAAAGTATGTTGACGTCTCTCGAAGAAATCTCCAAAATGTAGTTTGACCTAAAATACATGATCACATTCAGGATTGTCTATTGAACTTCCTAGAACACAGATCTTTATCATTTCAATGATAGATCGAATAAGTATTCTTCTAACTATGCTTCAAATTCATTTGACGCTTAGTATAATCAAACAAAAATTTGTAAATGACATAAAGCATTTTGTACGAAATTTTGTTACGGCTTCACAAATTAGCTAAATCCCCGTTGGTCCATAAATCATAAACATTGGGAGTGGATCATTCTCAATTGTATGATACCTTTATCCGCGTAAAGAAAAATATCGGTGATGATTAACTGTTGAATTAACTTAATCTAATCAAGAGAAGAGCAACAAGGCAACAAACAGTGCTCCTATACTGGACACTACTCACGACATTGTTAGTAAGTTGTATGTAGCAAGACTTGGCTTCGAAGTTGCAACAGTTGTCAAACGGAGTGAAGAGTTTCAGTGAATCGGAAGCACGAAGTTGGGAGAACACTTGAGGGCCAGATGAAATGGTTCAGACTACAGAGCACACCGAAAGATACGAATAGATGATTGAATGTTATGCATATGTATTAAGTAAATACTTTTTAACTTCCAGAAGCTATTATACGTTCCTCCTGCCTATTGTCATGTTTTACACTAATTTTATATTACTTTTAAAACACGGTTCAATTTACAAACCAATTAAGATGATTTTCTTAGGATTTAGTTTATAAATTGGCTTTGCCGAACTACTTACTTCTTATAACGGAGTCTCAGTACAGCTCCTCATTCCAAAAAAGTATGTGTTAGAACAAACGTTGTTTCTAATTAGAATAGCTTTATCAATTTTAACTAATATCGACAGGCTACAGCCCCTTAGAATTAATCGCATTTCAGAGCTAACGTCCATAACTGAAGAAGAAAAATCTACTGGCATGTAATAAAGTCTCAAAATGAAAATATTAGGAACACTTTGTGAATCGGAAATGAGACATAACAATTTTGCACAACTATCAACAAAAACGAACAGTTAGATTTTATCGAAGTAAACCTGAATTCAATTAAGGCAGTTCGTCCTGTTCTACTTTACGGCTGCAAAACATGGTCATTAAGGGTAGATGTTCGTAAGCTACTATTAATTGACCACAGATGTCTTAGAAATACTGCCAGCATCTGCTGGGATCACTGAGTAAGTAATAGTGAGGTTAGACGCAGGGTATTAGGGAATGATCGTAAATCAGTTGATGAGGTTGTGAATCTTCATCGACTGGGATGGTCAGGCCACGTATTACGTATGCCTGAACAGCGATTAACACGACGTGCAATGCTGGAGATGGTTGGAAGAAAGTTAGGGACGGCCAAACAAAAAAGTGGCGTCAGTGCTTGAAGTCACTAACCTCTAGTCTTAACCATGTTAGTAAATGCAGACTACCTTGTTGGGGTCCACGTGATTATCGTAACCAATGGTTGGAGACTGAGTAACCTGCCTCAAAATTGATCACAATGGCGTAGGTGCATACACTCTTTGTCTTCCCTTAAACCGTGAGATTAAAACTATATATAACTGATTTGTTTGTATTGAAAACAATCTGTTTTACTAACAAAACATTCCATAAATACATATTTACACCTTTATAAGTAATAAATATAAAGTCAATCTGTTCGCAGACAAGTAACAACAAAATGAATAGTAGAGATAATAATAATAATAATGATCAAATAAACATTGAAGACAATAGTAATAGACTGACTTGACCATTCCTAGTGAAAATATTTTAGACAACTAATAACGACACAGTAACGTGAAGAAAATGAGATAAAGAGAAAATTACTACTTTGAAAAAAAACACGAAAATTAGTCATTGTCATTATGAAAACATGAGTAGACAGGTAGTTAATATCTTACATATGTGTAAAGTGTATTTACAAAGTGTAAAACGTATAGCCATACACATATGACATCATATCATGAAATAGAAAACCACCATAATACTGAAGTCAACGAATTATTGCAGTAAAAGAATAGATTTCAAAGATTTATATACTAAACATTTCCAATGTGAATTTGCCAAGCCAATAAGAGACCGTCAAAACCAGTTGAGAAAAGATTGTGAACACCTTCATTTGCCCATGCAACACAAGTTACCATACGAGAATGACCCTGTACATCAAGAAATGTTTTAAACACAAAATATTAATAATTAGAACAAAGTTCGAAATATCGTTTTTATTATAAAATATTTTTGTAGCCACTTGATAAATGAATGTTTGTAATATTATATGTCAGTTGAGGTTTCAAAATGCTATTTTTACGAAGAATCATCAAAATATCAACAATACTGCTAAAACAATATTGAAATAAAAATATGTGTATAATACAACGAATATATGATAAACTAGGCAACATAACTAATCATTTTATTTGATTGATCAAACTTGAACAAATATAATGGACCTCGAATATATTAACCACTCGTTAGTTTAATAAAAATCTCAAAAGTATTGATTTTTAAACATGACATTAGAGAAATTACTTGCTTTCATTTTCAAAAGTGCTTAAAAAGTGACTACTAATATTTATCATAATCTATTCGTTGACTCTAAATAATATACTGAATTCCTCAGACATAAACTACTTGTGAATTCATTCAGCACTATTAATCCATACTATGTTAACTACCATTAGAGTCAGACTAACACTTAGACGAGTCTTTTAGAGTCTCAGTTCAGAGAATATACTTTCCCCAGACAATTACATATGTTTGATCACTGATTGGACCAATGCGTCATACTATCTGACAGAAGTAGGTTAGAAAGAGGTTAAACGTGGCCAGACCAAAAAATGGCATTAATACATAAAGGCACTAACTGACGATCTGGGCTATGTCGATAAGTGGAGATTTCTCGGTTAAGACCTATGGTACTCGTAATTAACAGTTTTTTGGTTAGGCAACATGGGGCAAAATTAATCATAATGGTTCACCTAAAATCATCTGCTACATTTCTCTAAATCTCGAGTTAATCCATTTCTGATACTTTATTCATCGATCTGGTTCTCTTAAACTGTGCTTCACGATGTCCAGACTTCAATTGTTTTCGATGGTATTTCTAATCTTATGGTTTTCACCTTTTTGATTTCTTCTTGCTGTACTGATTTAAAGTGTAGCGAATTGGATCGACTAACATTAGTGTTAGGTTTTATGTTGAAGACAGCTGACAAGGAAAATTACTTCCAACTTACTGCATTCATTTCACACTTATTAAAAAGGGATAGGATTTAAAACAATTTAACTGATATCAGTTTAAAAAAATACATGATAACTGTAGTCCGTTAACTGGAAACACTATATAAGACGAAACTTTTCAAAAGATTCATATCCTCGAAATTTTGCAGTGAAAACAATAAGAATAACAACATAACACAAGAAATTAGCTGAAAAAGCTATAGTAACAAAATTTAGAAGGAAATTTCAAACGCTAATTAATAAAAGGAATACTACTCCTTCGTAAACGCAAATAATCGAAACTCACATGTGACGATCTAGTTAACCGACCAATTCTGTTGCCATTTACATCAAGTAGCTTTATTCCTCGATTGACCAGCGGTAGAGCAATATACTTGGGGTAACTGGAAGGACAAGGATTATGAACTGAAGTACTTAACACAGACCCATGTTGAGCAGCTTGAGATGGAGCTTCACTGGAAGACGATCCAATTACAGTTGGAGCAGGATTAATTGTTTCTGTTGGCTGATATGATACACTTGGTCCATAACCAGACAAGCCCAAGCGATTGATTGCTGCATCGGTTCTAATGCTAACAACTGGACCACGGCTTTGTCTCAAGTCCCAAATACGACAAAACCTATCAGCACCAGCGCTTATAAGACGTTCAGGAGAACCGGGTGCCAGAAATTGTGTGGTTGAAACTGTTCTGTTGTTTTATAAAGAGTATGAAAATATGAAAAGAAAATCAAAAAACATAAACATAAAAAATGAAGTCAAGTAAATTAGATCAACGAAACAGAGTATGTATTTGAAATATGAAAGATAACTTACTGACTATGGGCCTGTTGAACATGAACCCGCATTCCTGGTTGACGAAAATCCCACAAACGAAATGTACAATCCCTTGACGACGTGACAACAACAGGAAACCCACCTGGTTCACAACGTACATCTGTCAAATGATCATCATGTCCCGTAAGTGATTCTAGCTCTTGTCCAGTTGCAAGATCATATGTTCTACCTAGACGATCCCACGATGCTGTCACTAACTGTTCTCGTCCGTAAACAAAATCAGCAGCAGATAAAGGTGATGAGTCGATAACATTGCATCCTGAAGCACCAGTAGAGTTCCAAACTGTACCAGATGATGATAAATATAAGTTTGCAGACTGAAATATTGCGTGAGGATGTCGAACAGCGATAGGTGGGATAGCAGCAATGCGAACTGGAGGATCTTTACCATTAAATGATCAGAACAACAAAAAATATTTAAATTCAATTAACGAAGAAAAAAGTAATTTTATGCAATACACTTGAATGAGGTTAAAAATAGAACAAAAATAAGATTAGTTATCAGATTTACCTTCTTCTGTAGAACCAACTAATAAATTCATCGTTTCATCTGAATCATACGAACCAACCGGATCAATCCCTGACTTGATAGCAGTTCCTACATTTTAAAAGATAGATATAAAAGGATATTACATTATCTAAAATGTGCAAATTGAATATCTGAAAAACTGAGTAGCTGAACAGCTTAAGCCTATAGATAAAAGTTGTTTAGTTGGTAGAGTCTAGACATTATTTGAACTTACCAACTAGAAACGAACGTAGATTAGAATGTTACAGCCCTCTGACGATAAGATCAATCCATACGGTACGAAGCTTTTTGGAGCATAAAGTTCTAAACTACTCACAAAAGTAACAGTAGTGTCAAGTCTTAAGACTAATTTGATTGGTTGCTACAGTCAAAAAATGCACACGTCCCCAAGACAGCCAACACAGATAATGGACATTTAGGATATTTTGTTTTTTCTCAAGTCAGTCATGCTACAAAAATTATGCTCAAAATTCAAGTTATATTATCAGTGCTTCAAATACGGGAAATCTTAGTCTTAATCTACAAAAATTTAGCGTAGCAATGAATCTGTACACGTCGAAGTATTACGCTGGAAGGAACAATAAATTTGAAGTGCGAATAATACAAGTAAGCAAAACTATCACGTTACTTATCATGAAAACTAAAGTAGCCAGATAATTACGTGAACTGGCTGACCACCTTTAAATAACGTTATAACTGTCAAAATAAAACATTTAGGATATGTACCACAAATATCCAAACAATATTTACTAAGTTCATCTAAGTAGCTGCATATTTGAAGTAGATTAAACGATCTGTGGGCTGAATTAGTTTGAGAATATCATTATTAACTTTCGCTTCAAATGTAGCAATAAATAAGATTATCAAGAAAGACGTACTTGGGTATGATATTCGTGAAGGAATGAAAGAAGTCCACTTCTGTCTAGAGTTGACATTCATTAAGTTGGTTAAACAATCAAAGTCTCCCAAGAGCACCACAAAACTATTACACAGTAACACTAAATTTCTTATTATCACTTAGTTATTGTTTAGCGTAAAAAAGATTCCAACTATAAAAATATCACGAACCTGAAATTGTACTCATTCCCAAACCCATAGGACTTGTTCCAGCAGTTTCTGAAGCAAGAGCCGAGGCAACGGCATCCAATGCAGCTCCTGATGTGTTTCCACTTGTAAGTGAAGTTGCAGCTTTATTTATTAAATCAAATGGCAAACGAATAAGGTGGGCAGTTCCATCTCCACTAGATGTTAACATTAAACTGTCTTTATTTCGAAATCGAACAGAGTTTACTGAACCTGAATGACCCATATAGACTAATAAACAACTAAAATAAATAATTTTTTAAAAATGGAGAGAAAAATTTCGTTATAAGATCACATAAATGTTTGTAAGAAAGGGATGAATATATTTATATAGAGTTATCAGAGTCATGATGATGAAACCCTACTACAATGTTGTTCGAATAAAAAGTGGAAGTTAATACCTGAAACTGGGGTGATTTTTGTCATAATGATTAAGCTAAAAATATTATCTATATGCAAAGATTAAAGCACATGAAATGACCTTTCAATGTATATCTAGCATCTGAATATTAAATGACTAATTAAATCAGTGACACCATAGAATAAATGTAAAATATTTTCACATATCTGAGTGCATATACTAAAATTATACATAAAATTCGGAAACACTAGTGACCTTACGTTCTATTAAGTATCTATACTTAGTGATTAGATATTCGTACATAATCTTAAGATCAAATACAGTCTCTGTAGTTGGCAATTGATGATATTAGATCGTATGTATCAAGAAAAACAGAATTGTCAGTTTAGGGTTAGGGAGGTTATCGGATTTCATTAAGATCACGAATCAACTTATGATAACCAGTAAAAGTATGAAAGCACTGTGCAGCCATTTCCTTCTACTATGGGGCTCCTCAACAGTGTGCATTCACGACCCCGTAACCGAGAAGAGAACCCAGAACCATTCCGAGTGTGAAAAGGATACCCAGCGAGACCGATGAAAGATGGTTGGGCAATATCATGGATTGATTGAAGCTAGAATTGTGCATCATTAGGTATTGCTAAGTGGTTCTTCCACAAGGTCGAAGGTTTCAGGTTTGATTCCTAGTTGTGGGGTCGTGGATGACCACTACTGAGGAGCCCCATAATAAAATACACTAATATGAGAAGAAACTTAAACAATGAACGATTCAGGACATGTTGTATATATATATGCCACATTAACTTGATCAATGATATCCATCAACTTGTTAATATTTACATTTGAAAACTTAAATTTCTAATTGATTTAACTGTTTGTTTACGCACTTGTTTACTTGTGCATAATTCTAAAAATGAACGTTATTTCTTTCGACTAACCCATGAATCATATTCGATCAAATTCAGGCTAATGTATTTCTAAACTCAAACTTGGGACCGATTTGTATTGTCGAAGGATTCGATAATGAAATAGACATAAGTAGAAAAGTCTCAGTTCTCCACCCAATTATATAGTACCATGCGCTATACATCTATAAACAATACCATACAACACAAATTCAAAATTGCAAAGCAACAATGATAGGAATACTATTAAATGATCAATGTATACAATAGATGTATTTAAAGTTAAATATAATCACCATATCTTATTACTTTAATTGACCATCGTTAATCCAAAGACGAGCAGTATTGTCAGCAGATGCAGTCGCAATAAACCTCCTGAATGAAGTAACCTCCCATATACCATCTCGATGTCCAGCCACTCGATTCATCAACTGGAAATTTCCATTGTGTCCTGAAAAGCTTCCAGCAAAAATGGCTGTCCCATGTCCAGTTGTGCTACCACCACTAGGCAAAGCAATATTCCCTGAATAATTTAACGAACTATTGACGGCAACAGAAAGAGTATTTGAAGTTACACCAACACAATTTGTAGCCGTTTATTCCTGGTTGGGTAACCGAATATGTGCATCCTTGACCCATATTACTGGAAGAATGACCTGTAGATTGACGAAGACTTGAAACTAGACGAGATGTGGATTGTTTATATTGTTGTTTGATACGCTGTGACAGCATACTTGCCCCCACTACGTAAGAAGTGGACAAAAGTATTAACATGAAGTTTTAAAAATTAACGACTGAAACTACAAACAATCTTTGAAAAAGGGAATAAATCTTCTGACATAAAAGTGAATCTTCGACAAACAAAACTATAGATCTACAAGATTTATATCTAAAAAAGGTTTGATGAAATTAGCAATTCTAACGTATATTCACTGAACCTTTACCTATTTTTTACCATAGTGTAAATGTTTGCATGCTAAACCACCATAAATTACGGCGATCTTGTGAGCAACAAGCGGAACATTACTGGTGAATATTTTAGTCTTTTACTATTTTATTCAAGGTTAGACGTTTATCAAAAGCTTACTGTGTTTGTAACTTGACAGTCGATCAACATATTTACGAAGACTTTATATACTGACTAGTAGGGTAAAAGAACAAATGGATGAAATTTCAAAGCGTAAGTTACCAAAACAAAAGACTGGAATGCATACTCAACCAGAGATGAAACTACTTTCCAGTATAACTATTCATATTTACAATCATTAAGAAAAAATGGTACATGAATTGTCGAGGAAGATAAAGTTTACTGTTCTCCGAAATTTCGATCAAATATATCACCTAGTTTGACAATGAATGGCTTCATGGTTAAGCATCAATCTAATATATTTTTAAATTAATGATACGCCAATTCACTTAAGTAATTTATTACTCTAATAATTTACAAGGTACTTGGGCGCGAGTCACACTCGAAATATGAGGTCTAATGACACTATTCGGCTGCCCAAACCGACATAATAAAAAGCCTACTTAACTACCATGAGAAGTAGAGAAATGAAAGATACTTAATGGATTTATTTCGAAAAAATAGCTATCTACAAAATTTCACCAAAGAATCTTTATGGAACCGACGGTTAACACACAACCAACAACAAAGATCAGCGGACGAATAGTTTTACACTACATTAAGAACATCTCTGGGACCAATAACAGATTATTAAGACGACTAAGAATAAGTGTAGCCCATATGCAAATAAAATTGCTGCAAACAATTTTATGCAAACTGTTATATCCTTAACTTATACGATTACCGCGAATATGATTGCCAAATTTAGATACGCAGACTTACACGACCAACAAATGACACATGCACCTGAACGAACGGCCTAGAGCCCCGATTGATCCTTTTCCTTGCCTGTTAAATCCAGAACACATCTCAGCCACCGCGATATAAATCATATATTTCAAACATAATCGGTTTATATACGAGCCAAACAGACCACATCACACCAGAAATAGAAAATAACATTTGCACAAGACCAAGCCAAAATGTGACTATGATTGTGAGAAACTGTGATTAATAAACTAGGCATAACTTAAGAATAGTGAATTGTATGATAAGTCTGTGGGTCAAAATAAAGCTTATAATAAGAGGAATACGAATATACGTGGTTTAGTTACTTAACAACTATACAATAAAAATATATGTATAGTATTAGTTTATAAGTAGATCGCAACATTTACCATTCATTATTCTCGTCGGGATATAACACAAACCAAAGGACATAACGACCAACTGAGACAAGCCAGAGATCATATACAAGATAAATTGCTACAACTGTGACAAACATTATGTAGGACGAAGTGGCTGTACTCTGCGTCTACGTCTATACGAACACCAGTTATTTGTTAAACGATGCAACATAGTTTCGCTGATATCAATTGACGTGTGGGCGAAGACGATAATGATTGGTTGTTTGCTTAGTCAGAGTTGTAGATAGTCTGACAGGTGCTAGATGAGTTACATATTCTCTTACCCTTATTATTACTGTATTGTTGTTGGGTTGTGTAGAGCTGTTGTCGGCTTTGGGCGTGGAAATATATTTACGTTTTAGTCAGGCTAATCACGTGTTCTTGATCTGAGTTGTATTGAAGCTCTGTGGAATAGACACTGAGAGGGAATCTAATGTAGATACTCGTCTAAAGCAAATTAAAGTCCAATCCGTGTACACGTGGAAAACGTAACGTTATAACATCAATGTATGTAGATAACTGTGAACATGAGTTCGATCAAGAGAACGTTAAAGTATTTGATAAAGGAAATATTAGAAAAACAAGGGGATTTTTGAAAGCTTGGCACTCCAACCAAGCATCAATCAGCAGACAAATCGAAATTAGCCAAATCTATCAGTCAATAAGAAGTTATCAACAACCATAAAGTCATATTTCAGATCAGAAGAGAAAAAAGTTAAAACAGACAAGAAAAGATTATACAGTTATAGATAACAAGTAATCAAATTTTCAGATCAACATAGAGAAATTCTGATAGCTCATTTCTCTTTGAAGTATGTGTCAATGTTGATCAGAAGAACAATGAAAGCTTAACAAACCAGTCCACCGGGCTTATAGACAACACATTCAATAGATGGTTATATTTATTACTAATATACAGGAAACCTACTTACTAATAAGTGAAAAAATGTAACATTCTAAAAAATTATATGAAAGAACAAAGCATACAAGATACGTTCTGAATATTTATATAGAAAATATTTCATTTAAATAGGAATTTATTGGAACCCAACTAACTACAGAACGACGAGGTTCAGTAACAGTAAAACTGTGCATTCACAATCTGAACAAAACATTCTGTGCTTCCCCATTACGTTTTAACGCCTTCCGTACAACATGCAAAATATGAAGGACACAAATGTTTTAAACTCAACTCGTAGTAAATTTATAGCATGATGGTTATCTCATACACATATTTTGAAGGTCGTTAAGAAACGGTAGTCTTACTCAACAATGATAAGACACACTCTGTTTGCCGTATATTTTTAAGAAATTTAATCTATTGTTTGATCAGAATGTAACCCTCAACCCCGAAATCTGGTGTTTGTCTGGGTCATGTTATTTATTTATTCATCTGAACACAAATATTGGTAGAAAGGGGCACCGAATACATATGTGCCACACAAGTCACTTGATTTGTGTGAGGGCTGTGATACTGCCCGGGTTCCAAAACCGAAGCAGGTAGTTTTCTCAGAGGACACACCCAGAGCCCTTGACTTAAAGGTCTGATTCACAAAGCAACGGAACGACGTAATGAGATGCAGTCCCATGGTAGCCAGTGATCAACACTTGGTTCATACGCCATTTTTTCCTTCAGGATACTGGAGCCCATGTACACCATTGGTTTGGAATCAGGGTTTCGCAGTTCCCCTAGGGCCATCCGTGTCCACCAACCCGGTTAAAGCGCTGGACATTCCTTTTTCGTCCTCACAATTTCGTAAACAACATCCCCGCCGTGAGAAGGCGGTGAGTAGGACTTCCCTGGCAGTGGCTGTATACGCGTGGCCATGTGAGAGCATTTCGAGAGGAAGAGCTAACTCTCTCCACCCTCGGCCGTACCAGAGCATTTGGGTCACGTATCTTGTAGGAAATTTAGTGCTTCGAAATTCCGTCGTAAGTTTAATTTTATGTTGGCCAGTATTCGCCGAACATAGAGCACAGGATTGTTTGGTGGACGCTGGTGTGAAAACTAGTAGACAAGAATGTTTTCAAAAGTGTTCCACATAAAACCTCAGACATTACGCTTGCCGCCAAAACTATACATAGTGTTACTGACACCACGACTCTTGCTTGTGGAGACTCAGATGACATAGAACAGTTCTCGGTACTCTTTAGTTGTATTTATTACTTCTATCTCAGTAACGGATTCAAATCAGGTCAAATGTTATTATCACGGGTCTGTTAGTCAGTGTTACTTTATGCAAACAATCGAAGGCTCTTATTTCATCAATGGATTTCTTTAAAGATAAAAATAAACACAACATAGTACAAGAAAGTATCCACTTGGAAACTAATGGAACTATAAAGAATTTATCAAAATGTAAAACTTACATTTTTTTACCAAGGTTATTGTTTCTGAATGATCACCATCTTCAAATTTCTCCAAACGTTCTTGTACTTAAAAATTTAAAATAAAATTTACATAATAAGTGTGTTTCAACAGAATTATTTTTAATCGAAATCGATTCAGCTATAATCATAATAAAATATGAACTCCTGAATATATTGAGTTACTAAATAAGAGTAGAAAACGTACAAAAAAAGTAAGCCTTAATAAATAGCATTAATTAAGAAGTATATTTAAATATTTATATAAAATATGTTTCTATGTATACATATGTGTATGTTAATATTGTAACAAAAATGAGAAAAATAAAGGCAAAAAACTATGTATGGAAGACACAGAAACAATTTTTTTTAAAGCTAAGATTTAAAATTAGTTAATATATGAGAAATGTGTTCAGATTCATCCTAATAAAATAATAACTGATTTGATGAAAATTTTCTTATTTGTACTAAACAAGTAAACTTGAATAAATACTGTTTCTAGTTATGAAATTGTAAAATGTAAAATTCCAAAAAAAATCCTACCGAATATAGAGTACTAAAACAAAATTGATTTTAAAAAGTTAAGAGATAAACTGTAAGAAAATCACTTTCCCCTTTTAATCTCATTCTGAATAAATTAAGTCTGTAAGATTAAACAGAGTACAAATAAGTCACCAAGATATTCACTGTTGAATAGAAAGAAAAATATATTTAATCGACAAAAAGTTAAATGTTACTTAAGTTTTTAAACATCTGATGAAAAGTTAAAATTAATGAACATTTTACAAATGTTTACAACACTCAGAATAATTCAATTCAAATGAGATGAAAATATGTGTAAGAAATATGAAATCATTTGAATAATAATAAACCGATCTGTTGATTTTTAAGCTAATTACAAAACTGGCCAAACAAATCCTACAAACATTTATGTAGAAATTCAAATATATGTAGAAATATTTGTTAGGACTTACTCCATAGCACTATTACCAACTTATTTTCCGATTACTACTTTAAAAACCTAACTCATTATCGAGAAAGACCTGAGTTCCTACGCTTTCACCAGAAATAAGGAATGTACTATTAATTCTTGGTGAAGTCTGGATGAAAAAGTAAAAAAATTGATAAGGTAGCTGATCTTTAAACAGCCTAAATCGGTTAGGCTGTTTTACTCAAGTAAAGGTACTATCTAACTTGGATTAAAATAGCGATCAAACTTCGAGTAGAATAAAAGCAGCTTGTGTTGACAAACTGATATATGAGATAAACACAGGCTATCATTGATTGGCGAAGTCCAGATAGTCTGAAATCAGCGATCGATAAATGATAACGATGTGGAACGAGTTTTTAAATCTATAAATCTCTCTTAATAATATCCCGTTTATTGACTTAAGCCCGATTTATTAAATTTAACATCTTCTTGTCTTTATTGACTACTTTTACCCTTTTCTTTTAAGTGTTGTTACAAAAGTAGCAATTTACAAACACTAAACAAAAATATGACAATAGGGTTCACACCCATACCTAATCTAACAACATGGTTTTCGATGATTGTGCTGACCGCTCTACTAGCCAGTGAGCATATAGAAGTAGACGAGAAGTTCGTGTATCTAGGTAGCTGCATAAGTGCTGGTGGTGGCGTGAATGATGAGATCAATACACATATAGTGAAAACCAAAGCGGCCTATGCCAATCTGGGCCATCTTTGGCGCCTTCATGGTGTTAGTCTGGCTGTAAAAGGTCGGATCTACAACGCGTCGGTGAGAGCAGTTTTGCTCTATGCTTGTGAAACCTGGCCTCTCCGAGTTGAGGATGTTAGACGACTCTCTGTGTTTGATCATCGTTGTCTCCGAAGGATTGCTGACACCCAGTGGCAACACCATGTCAGTAATGCAGAGGTTCAGCATCGTGTGTTCGGGAGCAGAGATGATAATCCACTTGGTGTCACCATCTTGAAACATCAACTTCGGTGGCTTGGACATGTTCTACGAATGTCGTCCGAGAGAATTCCACATCGTGCACTATTTGCTGACGGTGGGACTGGTTGGAAAAAGCGGAGAGCTGGTCAACGTATGACACGGTGTCGGGGTATGAAAGAAAGCTGCAACGGGCTGGGTTCTGTTGGTCCTTCACGACTCCCAGACTGGGGTCAAGAGATGGTGCGACACAGTGGCTAGAGACGTTATCAGGTATGGCTCAGAATAGAAACCAGTGGTGATCCTGCTGTAACGTTCTTTTACTTTCTTCATAGAAAAGTGGTTGCATTTTCTTTAGTTGAAAGATTTCTTCTGGTTGTACCTTTCCGTTTCCCCCATTATTATTATTATTATTATTATTATTATTATTATTATTATTATTACTATTACACCGCCTTACACCAATCTGGTCGTTATTGTTCTTCTTTTCTTTCTTTTACGCTCCTTACCTTCCTCTTTTTTCTCTTCCCACTCTCATTAGTTTATGTGGCGCATATATATTTGGTGCCCCCTTGTACCAATGTTTGCGATCAAATAATAATGATAATAATACTAGCCGGAGTTGCATATTAGCTCTAGAAGATTGGTGATCCAAAAGATATTTGAACAAACAAAGGAATCTTGATTGGTACGAGTACAAATCAGGAATTGGGTGCAACATATAAATCTATTTTGTATTACTATGCAACTAAAATTCATGGGAAGGGATATACAGCATAACACTAAACGACTTCTATTATTAGCAACATAAACTGAAGTAATTCAATATATGTGTAGATGGTATGTGAGAAAAATTGAAATTCTTTCATAATTAATTTTATAAATGTTATTCACTTAGATATATCAAAGATTAAAAGGTATGATTTATACAAATGTTTATTTTTTTGCAGAAATAAACCTATCTGGTAATGGTCTTAGTTTCTAAAGATTACTTTGTAGAAACGTTCAAATATGATTATTTCGACCAACAAATGATTTCATTCTTGACAACCGCCCGTAAGTAACGATATTAATTGACTTGATTATTAATAAATATCCGTCATCCCCGTAATAAACTTGCCAATTCAACAAAAATGTACCTAGATTATCAACTTAGATAATCGTTCAGAGCTTAAAAATGATAAGTTGTCTCACTTCTAAATACTAATAATCAAAACGTTACTACTAGATTCCATGTTATCTCTGGGACACTATGAAATATGTTCAAAAAATAATTTATGAAAAAAAATGGAACACTACGTGTGAAATTAAAGATAAAACTGGTTTACATACATGCTAAGTTTTCGCTATATAACCTTCTATACTCTCGTTCAAATTCACGTTCGATTCTAGCAAAATGTTTATGAAGTCTTTGCCTGAATTCTCGAGGTAAAACGGATTCAACTGGACCAGTGTATTCACCCATTAAATGACCTGTTAAATAGTTATCCTCCTCGCCAACTCCACTTGATATGATAGAATTTGGGATAACATTTGTAATACATGTGGAAACAGGTGCATTTAATGTGTCAGTTACTATGACTTCTCCATCTGATGGATTTGTACGTACAGCTGTAAACATTGTGTGGCTAAACCCTCTTTTACAATCACAACACTATTACAACCTGTAAGAAGTAAATCATTGATTTAACGGAAACAGAAAAAGTGAAAATAGCTAAAATGAAACAACTGGAAAAAAGTTATTTATTTGTTAAATACAGGCAAACTCTGAACATATTGATCAAGTTTTTCAGAAAAGACCTGACTTTTAATAGGTCCTTCGGATTTAATTAACGGGTTTTGTGAAACGTATTTTGTATATATTTGAAATATCACTTCAAGTTCATCATTCATTGGTGCACAAGAGTTGTCAGTGGTAAGAACAATTTTCATTAGTGTAGGGGTTTCGTAAAAATGAAGACGATATGTGTTAGTAACGTAAGAAAAACGATTAATTTCGTAGTCCAACGGTGAAATTTTTTGACAAAATCCTTTTAGACCAATTAACATACCACGCATCAACTTCAAGTCGTTATCAGATGGACATTCACCTTGCTTTGTTGGAGTCCATTCACGGTAAAATAGTTATCACCATTTTTTCCATATATATATAAGTTATACACCGTCATCTAAAACAATAACAATGCTAAAATTAGCATTTGATATTCATCATTTTTGGCAATGAACACAAGTAGAAGGACCGGTAAAGACTCTAGACTGCTCGCATGGGTTTTATGCATCATTGGTCCGGTCGATAAATTACTGTTCTCTAATTGAGGGTATCATTACGTTATACAATAATACGGCACAAAACCACAAGACATAACACGAACTTTTCCCTATCCCATCCAACATTACATGTTAAGTTCGGAAATGGTCGAGAATACGTGAAATACCTGACTACTTCATTAGATGACAAGTCTCCGTCTCATCAACCAGCTTATCAACTTTCTTAATTAAGTAAATGATATATCGATAGCAGCCCTTCAGTTGCCATAGAAGAGAGAAATGTTAAGAATGATTTCAAGCAAAAAAGAAAAGCCAGTGATAGCGGGTTATCTTTGTAGGTCATTATGGATATTAACTAGCTCACTAGTCTGGCCGACTAGGGATATTAATTGGTATGGTTTAGCGTTAATTTCGTCTCGTCCAACTAGTCAATCACAATACTCGAAATAAAAACAAGATATCCTTGTACTTAACCCGGGAGGCATGATTTTCAAGATCATGGAATTTGTAATACGGTAGAAACTGTCCTCATGGTAGAGGGGAACAGCTGCGTCTGTGGAACGCGGCCATTAAGAGTAGGAGATATTTGCAAGCTACTAGTATTTGACCACAAATGTCTTAGAAATACTGCCAGCATCTGCTGGGATCACCGAGTAATTAATAGTGAGGTTAGATGTAGAATATTATGGAATGGTGGTAAATCAGTTGATGAGGTTGTGAATCTTCATCGACTGAGGTGGTTGGGTCACGTATTACGTGTTCCTGAACAGCGATTACCACGACGCACAATGCTGACTGGGGAGGCCAAACCAAAACGTGGCATCAGTTCTTGAGGTCACTAACTCCTGATCCGGGCCATGTTGGTAGGTGCAGACTACTTGGTTGGGGTCCGCGTGACTATCGTAACCAATGGTTGGAGACTCTGTGTGACATGGCTCAGAATCCATCATAATCGTGTAGGTGTATACACTCTTTGTCTTCACCTAAACCGTGAGATTAAAATTACCTTATACCTTTCTTTCTACGAACTAATTCCTTCTGTATTAAATGCAATCTTTCTTTATATATTAATAACACTGAAGTAACCACTAAGAAGTTGATGTTCATCTTGTTGTGTTAATGAGGTATGTTAACTTGAACTGATGCATACATGTGCGTGGTCCTACGTTGTAGCTGACTGACTGAAACCGACGCAAATGGTTTTGTGCTAAAAGGAAGATTTCAATTAGTAACTATTATAACTTTTGAAGCGGACAAGTTTATCATTAGTGAAAAATCAAAGTTCACAGTTCACCAAAATCCCAAATATCATCCAAACCGTCGTTATGTTTCATTTATTGATTTTTTTTTATTTAAACACACAAACATTGCTACAAGAAGGTATCAAATATATATGTGCTACATTTCATCTTTCAGTTTGTGTGAGAGCTGGAACACTGTCCCTTCATTCTCCAATTCTTAAAATTTTCATTGTTATTGTATGGTGTATATGTATTTGGTGCCCCCTTTTACCAATGTTTGTGTTCAAATAACTGAATAAATTTCCCAATCTATCTAGTTAACATTTTATCCTTAAATATATGCGCCTCTTAACAAGTTATGTTCAAAATTGTTGCAGTGTATTTTATCACTGCCTAAATTAATTCAGATAAACTGTGTGCTGCATTATCCAAATTCATCAATTGGACTAATCTTTAAATTACCAATCATTGTTTATTTTTCCTTTCCAACCACCCTAAACTAAATTGACTGACATATGTAAACATTACTGACAAAAAAATAAACAGTTGCATACAAATCTTTGGCTTTTGCAATTTTAGTAAATTTATAAAGATGCTTGCCAAATGAACTCTGTCATCAAAAGTGTAACTTGTTCACATTTTTGTCTGATTGTGTACACCGTTCATCGAGGCAACGTTCTATGAAGTGAATTAAGAAGCTTAGTATGCTTCATTACACTACACATTTTTCCAAATTGGCACCACTTTTGCACATTATATTGGTAATTTTCGAATTTATATTGTTTAGTCATAAATTATGATTTTGCACTTTATTCAGAGTACCTTGACTACTACAAATTGTAACAAACAAACCAACCAATGTTACTGTATAATTATCACCTATAAATGCGATGTCTGAACTTCTTCATGTTGTCTGAATACGTAATTCAGTGTAATCAAATATAAATTGTCAATAATCTTTCCTCATTATCCTGATTGTCGTGGTACACAATTTTGATGTAATATACCGAGTTATTCAGAAAAATTAAGTTTTGACACATCGATGAAACTTATCGGTCACCATAATATATTTCTTTTTTTCAAGATTGTCTACTTATTCGTAAGTATTTGTCAATTATCAAATAATTGAATATCGAGTAGGTAAGGGTATAAACCAGCACTACTGAATAAACCTTAAAATTTCTAAAGAGAGGAGTGGACAATTATCATATGACCGTGGAGCTAGCGAAAATATAATTCTAACTGCGGAAATCCTATGGATTTATAAAGGAAAATGGGAACGTTTCTGCATACCAGGAAGTACCCCAACCCGAAAGCAAGTGACCTCAGTTTTAGTGGCCCAAAGCTTTCGAAAGATTCCAAGTAGGGTCTCCTTTAAATTTCCATGAAAATGGCAACTCTGGAAAGTTCACAATCGGTTATTTAACATATCGTCCGTTATTAAGATACCTTGATTCACAACAGTCGTATATTACAGTGGCAAAAGACAGTATGAATTTTTAGCTACCCACTGTTCAAAAAACATGTATACTGACCGCAATATGCCTGAAATAAGAACATATTGTACAAACCTACCAAGTAACTCGCACATTCAAAAGCTGGTAACGAATTGCTCTTCAATCTTCCATAAAACATTCAACCAACCGTTAGTCATTGGTAATAAGGACAGTAGCCAAACTAAACTGTGATGATTTCTGAGAGGTGTTTTTTGTCAAAAATCCTGTGCCTGCTCAAACGTAAGATTGGCAAAATTTGTTTGGGTACAGTGTTCGTGTCGTCGACCGCTCGATGAGAAAATGAAATCTAATAACTGATTTGTTCAGTCGAGATTTTTAGTCTTGCATGTGCAAAAAATAGTTTTTATTGGGTGGATATACTTAAATAAGATATGCGATATCTAAATAAAGATAATGTAGCGGTAAATAAATTCCCAGGATCAATAGCTCTGTAAGTCTTCGATATTTGTTAATGATCACCTTATTATAAAGGATGCGATTGGCATAATGGAAACAATTATTATCACATCCAACTGTACCAGTGATTATTTTACTGTACCTGTTTGATTAAGTGTACCAAAAAGCACTTCCGTTGTTTGTGAACTTGCACGAACTCTCGTACGCTCAGTAGTCTCGCCTGTGGATTTTGGTACGATCTCGGTATTATTTCGATACCACGAGATCTCCAACAAATACATCTTAACTACGACCTTTAAGTGCTTTCTGATATTTGGCCTACGGAGGTGCCTAACCTGGTTACTGACACGTGGTCTTCCTGTAGTGGTGATCATAGTCAACCGCGACACGACACCAACTGCAAGTTTTTAGGAACTCACCTAGCTGAAGGCACTCGTTCATGTATTTGCATCAGATTATAATTGGGCACGCCATGCTACGTGTCACCTACGAGTAGTCAATTTAGATTATTTACTTCTCGATATGTCGACATTATATCAAATATATCTTCGAACCCCTTCGCTTCTAACCTCCGACTTTACCAAGTTGTCATATTCCGTTTATAAAAGGTGTAAATGGTTAAAGAGTTGTCAAACTCCGAATACTTATGGCACCTTTAGTCACTTCTCGTCCTAGAAATTGGAGAAATGTTTACTTTTGGAATTTATTAACTACTACAGATTTAACTTTTAGGCATCAACTTCTTGACCATCAGACTATTTCAAATAGATTGGTTTGGGTTCCAAGCCTATCAAGGTCGCTGTATGCAACCCTTCACATGCAACGTTATTTACGAAAAGGAGTAATGATAACATATGCACGATCAACAATTCGTTAACGTAAAGTAAGAAACATGTGTGACTTAAGGTAGTACCCTGCGATGGGTCACCGTTTACGAGCTTCCGTACAGACAAAGTTTCACTAACTCTCACGCTCCGGTTTCAGCCCGCGAGAGACGTTCACCGTACAACTTGGAGATTTGAATGTGTCCCAGGAGAAACACCATAAAAACTCCACTGTCGAAACATATACATATATTTTTTATTCATAAGCAGACCTATATCTCGACCTATCACCAAGTCTGCTCCTGCCACTAAAGGATTAGTTTGGCACAAAAATTCATTGGGAAAATCTTGCTGTTTGGGAGTCAAAAGATTACCTGATTCAATGCAGCCAGGCAAATTATCCAGAATAAAATTTCCAGTCTTTTAACTTCTATACTAGATAGACAACCAAGTCCAGTCGGGAGAGCCTTCTACTTCCTCCCGACCCTCCGAGAGTTGGGACTTGGAAGGATACATGCATATTATCCCTATGAGAAAGGTCTAAACCTACTCCATTTAATATGTCTGAGTCTTCATATAGATATAGTGGGAGGAACGCATCACTTTCTGCTTTTAATACATAAAAATTGTCGTTTGAAAAAGACACTACTATCGTCCTGAGTTTTTTCTTGTTGTTGATAGATTCTGAGATGGTTGTTTTGCATAGGTTCAGAACCAGAAACTCCAAAACCTTGAGTGAACAAAAAGTCTCAAAAATGTTACTTACCGCATGATCGTTGTTTGTCGCGGGACGTCACATTTTAAGACCTGTAATATCATTACAATGATGTGTGAAAGTGAGTTATAGTGGTCATGATTATGATTTGGAGTTAGAACGTTCCGATTCTGTGATAATGTAAGCGTTTACACTAAATTTTAATCGAGAGCAAGTTACCGTCAAAATATCAACGTCAAGTGCGAAGTTCATCCAGTTAGTGTTAAGTATGTTGAAGCCAAAGAGAATATCCCTACGAACATTACTTATTATTTACTTGAACACAAATATTGGTACAAAGGAGCATCTAATACATATGCGACACAATTTATCGTTTTGATTGTTGATGCCACGTTTCGGACTACATACAACAGTATATTTGTTGAGGAAAGAACTTGTTGAATAAACAAAACACTTTTGTCCATATAAAGGATGTAGACGATGCCTGCCAAATATCCAGTTTTCCGTCTTTAAAAATCAGTCTGTTCATAACAAATAACGCATCGATTTCGATTTTCATATATTATTGGTAAGATGCATAAAATGTCATTAAAAATGGTATTTTTAGTGTTGCAGCAGGTCATATGCAAGGCTTCCAGCATAATAATATAGCCCTCTTATCAGTTTGAGAAAGAGATGTTTCATTCCAGTTGATAGTTTTTGAAACGGTCAACACAACTTTGGTCAAGGCGTTTTCAAAGTACATCTTTAGAAACTAATTATCATTACCATAAAACAGTTCAAAATGTCTGGGCAGATTGTTAAGAGGAAATAATACAAAGTTGTTTCTCACCCCTGAATAAAAGTAAGCCCAAAGTTAGACTCGTTTAAGTAAACCCTAACTTACAGCAATTTATATGGTTCAAAGAGCAAATTACAACAAAAACTGTGACTGCGTAGACGCTTAAAGAACCAGTGGTTGTCTACTACATTACCCTTGATATTTCACAAAATCCTGATCTACGAGTCTCGTATAAGC